AGCAAGAGAAATTTCAAGGACAAGACTGGTAACTGAAAGGTCTATTTTTTTTTTTTTTTTAAGATTTTATTTTTGAGAGAGAGAGAGAGAGCGCACACAAGTTGGGGGGGGGAGGGGCAGAGGGAGAAGCTCTGAGCCTGATGTGGGACTTGATCCGAAGACCCTGGGATCATGACCTGAGCTGAAGGCAGATGCTTAACCAACTAAGCCACCCAGGTGCCCTGAAAGGTCTATTAATGTTTACTTGGGCTTTAAGGATTTTCCATCCTTGGGAAACCACACAGTGATACCAATTCCACAACTGAAGACTTTTAGATGGTAGTAAGATGAGAAAAAATTCCACATGCCTACCAAATATCTAGTGGTTGGCCACAGAAGGCTACATTATAAACCATTTTGATAGCTCTTCTGATGAAAAGGCTGAGGAAATAGCTCTAGTTAGTGAGATACAAAATTGGAATATTTCACCAACCCTAGGCAGGTTAGGATCAGGTGAAATTCTATGGGATGCTCCAGAACACTGCTATCATCAGCAAAATACCATGAGAGCCTCCAGATTATGAGGGGGGAGGCAGTCTCTATATTTCTGGGCTGGAGAGAGACAACCCCCCCACCCCCCAACACAGTTCTTTGGCTCAGCTCTATGCCCTTGAGTGAACCGCATAACCCCTGGGCTTCTCTGTCAACTTTAAACTTAAAAGACTAGACCAGATAATCTCTAAAATCCTGTGAATCTACACAGGATTCCTGGACATCAGAGGGCAGCATTTGAGGAGGAAAAAGTAGAACTGTCCTACCCACTTTTTCAGGTACTTTACTGCTATTGAGCTTTGTTCAAAGTGAGCCTTAGCCTACTTAGATTCATTTTGTATGGAGATGTTGCAGAAAAATGAGCTAGGTCAGAGCCTGAATCTGGGTTAGCTATAAATGCGACACAGAATTGTCAGCTGCATGAAATGGTGCTGCAGCTCAAACACCATTATCCCACACATCAGTGCAAGGAAGCTCAAGCTGAAATGTGAAAATATTCTCAGCAAGGGGGCTCAAGAAACTGGGAAAGGCCACCAGAGGCCTTCTAAGTTTCACTCTGGGAGGCCAGCTCAGAGGAATTCTGGATATCTTCTCAGGGACTCTTGATGGTTTGGGAAGACCTTAGGTTAGTAACTCCCCATCTGCAAAACAGAATAAACCATATGTGGCACAACCTAGCTTCTGAAGAGGGCTGAAATCATATGAAAAGCTTTTTTACAGCTTTCTAGTGGGGCACTCCAGAGTCACCAAATAAGTCTCTCTTCTCACTTGCCCTTGTAATACTTTTTGTATTGCCTGTAATATGCAAAGGACAGTATAAAATGGATGAAAAGGTATTCAGACAAGCTTAGGAGGAAAAAGGGCCAAGTGCTATCCACAAAGTCTGTTATTCCAGTGGCTACCAAAGGGTAGATTAGCCAGCATCATAATCTCCTGGGAAGTTACAAAAAAACAGACTTGGGCCCCACTCAGGGGTGGAAGTTTCAGGAAATAAGTTTGGAGAAGAAAATGGGCACCTGTGCTGTGTGTGTGTGTGTTTGTTTTTTAAAAGAGTTTATTCATTTATTTGAGAGAGAGAATGAGAGAGAGAGAGAGAGAGAGCACATGAGAGGGGGGAGGGTCAGAGGGAGAAGCAGACTCCCCACTGAGCAGGGAGCCCAATGAGGGACTCGATCCTGGGACTCCAGGATCATGACCTGAGCTGAAGGCAGTCGCTCAACCAAATGAGCCACCCAGGCGCCCTGTGTGTTTGTTTTTAAACTTCCTAGCTTGTTCTTAGGGACAGCCTGGTCTGGGCACCACAATTTGGAGCCACTCCTATGAAGGATATAGTTCTCTGATTTCTTACCGAGATCTGGCTTGCCTGTGTAGAGCTTTTCATAGAGAAAGGTGTGGTCTCGGAAGCTCTGCAGTGTGTTCCCCATGGCTATGATGGACACCATAACCAGCCAGCTTCGTAACACGTTCAAGAAACGGCTCATGACTCCCCTCCAACCTGAGAGGGTTTTTGCCTTGGGAACAAAGGCCAAAAACATGAGACAGCAGTTAGCTTACTTCAACCATAAGCTCTCTGACTTGGGTAGTTAACTTGTGTCCCACTCCCGAGGGCTATACTAAGCTTATCTGGGCAATCCCTTCATGAATTCCTTTCTAAGTCCCTGAAGTTGGCCCACCTTCAGTTATCTTAACGTACTATTCTTACTTCACAGGGTTAGCACACTGCCTGGATATTTGCCCTAAACCAAAGGATGCTAACATTTACCTAGAGTGAAAAAGGCTAAATAACGTAGTGGCTAGAAATGGAAAAGCCGGCCAAAAATAATGGAGAAAAAAAAAGGGAACAAAGAGGAGGTGTATGAATATTACGATCAGGTAATAAAATGGACTTCTGTGTAAGACTTAGAGAAATTGGTCTTGGTATTTAGCCACACTAGTAGTGGTGAATCAACAGTATACTTTGGCACACTACTTATTTTTGTCTAAGCAACTTGTCCACAATGGTAGTCTAAATCAGAACCCTTCTCTCTTGGCTGGAATCAGTATTTTAATATCTTTACTTCTCGCCTAGTTTTTTTTTATGTCATTCCCTTGTGATCCAAGTGGCTCAAGGTGACTGTAAATCTACTAACAGATACTTGCCTGGCTATTGATGACAGACACTTTCAAGCCTTATGCATTTGAGTGGAATCTATGGAGTGAGGGCAATATTTATACTCTCAGGTATTCTCTACTCTGGTTCTCGAGTAATTCATGCTCCATAAGCTAGAACAGTATAAAAGTTAAAAGTAAATAAACTGCTGTGACTTGAGAAGTAGCATGAAAATTATGTGGAGAAGGAGCCAACAATGTCGGCGTTGGGTTGCAAAAGAAATTACGATAGCTAACAGGTATTGGGCACACGTATATGTCATGCACTGTGCCAAGCACCTAACATAAATTATCTCATTTAATCCTTAAACAAGGTGGATAGGCCAATATTACTATTTCCATTTGACAGATGAGGGTTGGCACAGAGAAATTAAGTGATTTGCTTGAGGTTACACAGCTAACACATGGCGGAGCTGAGATACAAACGATGCTATGCAATACTGTCTCACTGAGAATATTTTGATGAAGTTTCTATTTTTAAGGAAGACAAGCACACTATATCCACTTCTGTCTTGAAGTTGTATACAAAATACAATTACATTATGTACTTTTTGTTTTTAAAAAAAGCTTAGGTGAACCCTTGAAGAGCAATGATTTCAATCAACTTGATCTATTTTCTTAAAGATTTTACTTATTTATTTGAGAGAGAGAGAGATAGGGAGGGAGAGGGAGAAGCAGACTCCCCACTGAGCACAGCCAGATGCGGGGCTCGATCCCAGGACCCCGAGACCATGATCTGAGCTGAAGGCAGACACTTAACCAACTGAGCCACCCAGGGGCCCCTCAATCAATTTGATCTAAATAAAACTCATGTAAAGGATTTAATAGAACTACTTCTCATCTTCACTGTAGTGTTGTAGTTTTTTTTGGTTGTCTTTTGTTTTCCCCCACAGTATCTGTTGTCAGGTTGACTTCTTGGGCCTGAAGTGGTGATAAACCATCAGGCTTCCCTTGTCACTCTGACAGAAGTTTCAGTTTGGTCTTATGCTACCCAGCTGAAATAAACATTAAAGTCAGCCATGGCCTAAGACAGTGGGAAGCACCAAAAAGAAAACAAAACAAAACAACCAAAAAAGAGCTCTAGAGGAGGAAGCGGAATCCCTCGGGGAATGGTAGGTCACAACAATGGACCTCACTGAAGTCCAGAGACAACAGAACTTTACCGGAGATCAGAAGTGGTCAGGGCATGGGCCAAGATCCCCCCCATCCTCATTTTTCCCATTTCTCAATAGGTGACTCAGGCTTTCTCCTCCCAGAGTCAGAAAAGCCATATGGATGGCTCCCCTCTTTGAGAGAACTTTTGCCCATTTCATGGAAGCTCTCAGAAATCCCAACAGATAGCTGATGAGGGCAGAGCTTGAGCACTCTTCCTAACTGCTCTACCAAATCCCTCAACCCCATTTCCCTAAATAGGGCCTCCTGAAGTTTCTAACATGTATTCTCAAATTTTGTCCTGGCCTGGCCCAGCAAAGGTGTTAAAACTAGTCAGGAGGGAGGTTCCTATCCTTCCACAATCATTTTGTAGCTGTGCGACCCTGGGTGAGAAATCTGCAAAATGGAGCTTTAAAAATACCTATCTCAAGGGTTACTGTGAGAATTACATGAGAAAGTGAAAAGGTTCCTTGCCCTGTGCTAGGCTCCTAGTGGCTGGTCATTCGTTCATTCATTCATTGGTTCCCCGAACCTACCAAGCCTTCTTCATTTTCATAGTCCCAGCTCCCCCTTCTCAAGGTCTCTCAAGCCCCCTGTTCCCCCAAAAGGTTGCTTCCAGGGATCTTCCTTCCGTCTCACCTCCATTTTTCCAGACTGTCCCTATCCAATCAATCAGATGCAACAAAAACGCCTCCCTCCCTCTTCTCCCACACACTCTCCGTACCTGGTGACCGGACCCCCAGCACAGCAGCGGCAGCGGCAGCAGCAAAGCCCCAAAGCAGACGCGGCGAGTAATCCACCTGAGCCATTTGTCCTCGCCCCCGCCCACAGCCCGGCTCCAGGATTGGGTCTTCTCCGTCAGTCCTCGCTCGGATTGGCTGCTCCGGTTTTGCTCGAGCAGGAGATGGGGCGTGAACCCCTTTACTGCCAATCAGTGGTTGCCGCTGCCCGAGCTTCACCCCGGGTAGCGCCGCCCACGCAGTGAACCCTCTTGTTGAGCGTGTCGGAAGAACTCCGGGTGTGGAGTCAACCCTTTAGGAGTGGAGGGAAAAAGAGCGGAAAAAAGAAGTCTAGACTTCTGCTGAGGGCAAAGCTCTGCGCCCGCGCTGCGCGGCGGTGACGACATTCCTTCGCGCCCGAAGCCGATCGTTTTCAGCGCGGGGTGGCGGGCGCCTGCGCAGTGGCTCCGAGCGGGCGGTTGCTTGTTGGTTGTTGTAGTAACGGGGGAAGCAGCGTCGGCTTCGGCGGTGAGCCCGGCTGGGGAAGGAGGAGGGAGGTAGGCGCGGAGCGCGGTCCCCGCCGGCCCGCCCGGAGCCATGGGAAGATGAGACAGGTAAACGCCTGCGCCGGCGCGCTCCCCTACGCGAGGGAGGTGAGCTCCCTTGTCTGGGCGGGCGCCGGCCGCTACACTTCCCTCTCGGAGTCCGGGAGTAGCTGTTGGCTTCCGGGCGCGCTGGGCTGAATCGCTGCGGCGGAGTGGTCCCTGTCCTTCCCTTGGGGAGCATCTGAGGACCTACCTGGGATTGGGGTGAGCCGGCGGTGAGGCCTAGGGGCTGATCCCTTTAGGGCGAGGACGCTTCTTGGGCGAGTGTCCTTAATCTTCTTCCGATCTCCGTGTCTAGCAGCCTGGGACAGGTTTGGCATCTCTTCCTAGCTTGGAGGTTTTGCTTGTTTTGTTTTAATTTAAAGGACTTCCCAACATTTTGGGACAGATCGAGAAATCCCGTTGGGAATCCTCGGAAGAACGCCTTTGAAGTTATTAGATACTGCCCATTCCTCTGAAGATCTGTAGGGATCATTATCGAGATCGGCGGTTTTTTGTCCTGTGTACGGTCTTAGCATATTTTGAATGCATAGCAAAATAAGATTTGCAAAGATAAACATCAGATGGTTATCTCTGAGTAATAGGATTATGGTCATTTAAACATGTTCATTTTCTTTATCTGTAATTTCGATTTCATCCTTAAACACACAACAGACTTGTACTTTTTACATAATGCAAAAATGTTTTGTTAGAAATATCCTAATTTTAATGCCTATTTGAGATTCAAATCATAGTTTGTGATTTTTAGTAAGGGAGAATAATTTTTGAGAGTGGAAGGACAGTGTTTTTCTTTTTTTGTTTTTTTTCCAGCTATTTATCACCTTGATTCAGGAGAATATATTAATCTTCTAGTTTAGTGGTTGAATTTATTTTAGTGAAATATGAAGGTATTTCAGCTGTGTGCTTGTCCTAGTGCCTAAAGAAATATTTTCAGGAGTCGTAAATCTTGAGTTTTTATTTTTAACCCAGGTCAAGCCTTTATAGCGGGGAGTCTATGTTTTAGTCAATCAGACACCTACCTCAGACTTCCCAGAAGCTAATTCTTGTTAGGTTTAGTATATAAAAGAAAAATGAGAAGCTCAAACTTAATTACAGCTCTGTAAATACATGGAGGACAGTATGTTTGAAAAAAACCTTGATTTTTGTGGTGTGAGGCACTGTGATAGGTAAGCTTCTAGACGTTGGACACCATTTAGGTAAACATTCATATTTGTTACTTGGAAAATCAATAGCAATAAACAAATAGAAAATGCCATTGTGTTTCAAATCATTTGGCTTTCTTGCAGGAATCAGTGCCACCTAAATTGTTTGATCCAGTGAATCTGCAAGGAAAGGTCTCTGAGGCCCCGTCTGCTGACTGCATGACAAACCCTAAAGGAAATGCCAGTCGTGATGGCCCGGGACCTGGAGGAAACAGCATCATCCTCAGAGGATGAAGAGGTGGTAAGCCAAGAGTAAGTAAGAGCGAGCCTGCTTTTGACTTTTTGCCTTTAGGGTAGAAAATGATTCTCTTTTACTTATACCTTCTTTTATGCACTCCTTCCTTTGGTGCAGTCTGACTCTGGTTTTAGTTTCTATCCGCGATCTAATCCAAGATTTTATGAGTTGGTCACCCTCAGCTATCTGAAATGAGAGAAGGCTCTGTTTCTGAGCTCATGAGTGAACATTGGCTCTAGATATTGCTTTGTGAACTCTTGATTGGTGCTCCTAACATAGGAGATTTTTAAATTTGTAGATATTAAAGCAAAGGAGGTCTCCAAACTCTGAGATAGGTTATGTTATTTTCTCAAAAGCCTTTACAATGATAGAATGATAGTATATAGAGAGGTCAAGTAACTTACCAGAGTAACTGTGGGACAGTACATTAGAATTCTTTAACCTGTGCTGTGCCATTGAACCACATTGCTTTCCTGGGTTGTTTTAGTAAGAGTCAAGTTTCTTGATTGCTGGATTCTCATAACAATAAAAATGAACAATGGTAATAAGTACAACGTATCATTTAGCATAGATGATGGTAAGGGCTTTAACTGATGTGTCTCATTTAATCTGAAAGTGTCATTATTCTCACTTTAGTAAGCTCAGCCTCACAAAGATCAAAGAACTTTTTTAGGGACTCAGAGATAGTAAGTGATGGATTGAGATTCAGACCTAGTTTTCATGGATTTTGAGGCACTTTGCTATTTTGCCTCCTTTAATATTATTACTTGACACAGAGAACAAAGAGAGAGTCTCACTTAAAGTTAAGATTAGTTTTTAAGATTCTCTGTGAGTCCCCTTGGATATGTGTGTGCTATGTAACCTGAAAAGTGGGGATAGTGTCTCCCAGGCTGTTCTGTAGGGGTATCGTTAGGATCAAAAGAATGATATGTATGAAGTTACTTTATAAATGATGAAGTACCATACAAATGTTAAGGCATTATTCTTACTGGCTTTAATATTGAATTTAAAGTGCATTTCTTATTATAAAGTAGAAGATTACATTATTTAATGTAACTAGAAAAAATGACAAGCATTCATAAAGCTTTGGGAAGGGCTTCTCATCACTCTTAGGTCATAGAAAATAAAAGAGATTTGACATTATATTTGGGTCAGTCTTATTCAGGATAATTAAATGGATAATTCCCTCTGGTCACTTTATCTTCTTGTGACTTTTTGCTTTCTGTGTGCTGCCTCTTACCTGTTTCACAAAATTTTTAACTTCTGCGAGCATCAGTCTAATTTCAAGATCATTCTTTTACTTCATGACTAATATATTAATGGGCTTATGAGTTGGGTCTGATGAGTATTAGGTTGAACTCTATGAAATTACTGTTTTAGTAGGTTAAAAATAGTCAAATATTGACAATTTCAGATTTTCAACCTAATATTGCAGTGGGTACTTGGTAAATACTTGCCAACTGAGTGACCAACTGAATGAATGAATAAATGGAGACTTTATGCTTTAGACCACCTTAGAGCAGGGGTTCTTAACTTTTTTTATGCCATGTATTCCTTATCAGAGTAATATTTTTAGGTGCTTAAAATACATATCATTGCGAATAGTAGCAATTACATTGAAACGCAGTTATTAAGATTAAAAAAAACCCACACTTGTGATATAGTAATATGTGCTTTTTAATTAGTGCATTAAACCACAAGATTATTTATCTAAAACATGGGGAAGTTAAATTTTATTCTCTAAAGGCAGCAGCATGAAGATTGTTTTTGCTGTTTGCATAAGCTCATCACCCTTTGGAGTAGTCTTTTTTTTTTTTTTCTTTTAAGATTTATCTGTCCATTTTAAAGAAAGGGGGGAGCGGAGGGAGAGGGAGAGAGTCTTAAGCAGATGAGACTATGCTGAGTGCGGAGCCTGACTCGGGACTCGATCTTACCACCCTGAGACCACTACTTGAGCCGAACCAAGAGTTGGATGCTCAACCGACTATGCCACCTAGACGCCCCCACCCTGTGGGGGTAGTCTTTGATTAGCACTTATAAGTGGGGAATATTGGGGAGCATCATAGGTGTCTGGACCACCACTTGGCATTTACCATTTGGCAGCTGAATGATTGCTTAGGAGGAGAGCTGCCAGATTGTTGTCCAGCCTTATCATGCCAGATGAGGAAGATTGTGACCACAGGTGATCTACTGGCAAGTTTAATAGCTACCATTAACTTAGAAGTAGTGGTAAATGTAAATGATATTTTGAGGTATCTGCAACGACTGTAATATGGTGTAAAAAATCTATAATTTCAGACAGACTCAAAGGCACAGATAATACTTTGTTGCCTATATTCATAATTGAGAAATGGCTAAATTTCTAGTAGAAGTTACTGAACTTACAGGTGTAATTCCCTCCTCCAATCCAAACTCGTGGATTTTTTTGCTCTTCTTCCTTTCAGACTCCTGTTGACTTTTGACTGTTAATGTTCCATCGGCTCCTGTCTTTTCTATCAGACATTTAGTATATACATTAGGAATCTTAAGTCTATCTTGTTTACACTTGGAGTAATATGCTTACATTTTTAAAGTTTTGGAAGTTATAAGGCCTTAAATCATCTAAGGATGTTGATGTGATCCAAAGATGTATATCCATGGGCATCTGCTGGATCTGCTCAGATCCCAAGGCTGTATTCAAGTGTTAATGCCTGGCAATCCTGGACTTTAGGGCTAGAAACTGTCCAGGAAATCCTTGTTTTGCACAGCATTATTTCAAATACTAAGTTTAAAGGGGCTCTTTTTCTATATTTTGTTAGTGGATCCCAAATACAAATTTATATACAGATGTGGAAAGATTTGATAAAAGGTTTATTCAGGCCCTAAAAAAATAATTTCAATTCCTATCATAAAAGTCAGCTTTATAGCAGTTCATGAACATATACATGGGGGAAAAAAAGCTCATCAACAAATGATTATACAGTGAGCACTACAGGAGTTCAGAGACAGAAGGCATCATCACTGTGGGCTAGAGGAGCTGGGGGAAGACTCCATGGGGGTGGTGAGATGTCCTGGGCCTAAGTGTGGGATCAAATGGACGGAAGTGGGGAAAGCATTTCCAGCAGGGGCATTGGTATGAATTAGGCCTCGAAGCTTTGAGTTATGTAGGCTAGGTCCCAGGAGTGAATAATATATATATGCCTCATGAAATTGCTTTTTAAGAACCAAAACGTTGTTAGGCTTTCATTAAAGTGAACCTTAAAACTGTTCTACTTCAGTAATCAAGCATCCAAGTCCTGAGTTCGTTCATGCCTATAAGAGCGTATTTTTTTTAAGATGTACCACTTTCTGGTGTGAATGAAAATTTGAAGTCCCAATTTTCAGTTTCCTCACCATTTTGAATCTTTTGCCTTTAGCACCCCCTGGTGGGAGCATGCTTTTAATGACAACGGAGCATCTGCCTTAAGTGTGTTTTAGTTGACCATAATGAATTCGTAATGTGTCTGCCACCTCTTTTATCTTTTCATAGGTTGTAGGTGGAAGGATTTCTCTGGCAGGGTTTGGCTTTCCACAGATAGCATAGCTAGGGCCTTGGCTCTTCTCCGCCGTATATCTGTTTATTGTGTTCCTGACCCTTGTCAGGCGTTTTAACTTGTAAGCAATAATCCATTGTTTGTAAGTGGGAAGGCACAGTGGTACTAGTTTGTAGCTAGTGCTAGATTGATGAGGAACTTGGGATAATTTCCAGAGTTTCTGTCCAAGACTTTGCAGTTTAGGCTGCCTATTTTTTCTCTATCCTCTGACTTAGAAATATAGTGGGAAAATTATAGTTGGAAAAGATCCTAGGAATCTTCTGGACCCCTGCCCACATTTTACAGGTGTTTAAGATTAAAAAGCAAGCAAACCATGAAAAAATATCCTTCTTGCTAAAAAGTGCCCCTGATGAATACCTTTTCTCACAAATGGGCACTATTACCCAAGTCAAAAAGCAGGAACAGTAAGTAGTAAGCATCCACATTCCAGTTCTAGAAAACAGGAAATGAACTAGGTATGGTGTTCTTTGCTTTTCCTCACTAAAACACTTCGGCAGCTCATCCTAAGTCTCAAGACTGCCTCACTTCTCAGATTGGTAGCCTGGAAGACTGTGCATTCAAAACGGGAATCTTTTTAAACTTGGGTTGAGGGGGTCTCGCTAGGCCCTGAGATTGGTAGTATGACCTTTTTTTAAGGGATGTGGTCATGTGAGTTTTTGAGAGCAGCCCAAATTTTGGCTAACTGGATCTTATTCTATTTATTTATTTATTTTATTTATTTATTTTTTTTAAGATTTTATTTATTTATTCATGAGAGACAGAGAGAGAGAGAGAGAGAGAGGCAGAGGGAGAAGCAGGCTCCCAAGGAGCAGGGAGCCCGATGCGGGACTCGATCCCAGGACCCTGGGATCATGACCTGAGCCGAAGGCAGATGCTTAACCATCTGAGCCACCCAGGCGCCCTCTTATTCTATTTAAAGAATTGATTAGTATAGGTTCCCAAAGGGTTGGGTTTAAGGTGTTCTGTATACAAAACATCACTGAAATGTGATTGCGGAGATGGAAGGGTGGAAAGAGCGCAGGCAGGCACTTGGGTTCAGATACCTGTTCCCTTACTTAACCAGATCTATGATCTTGAGCAAATCACTTATCCTCTCTGAGACACCTTTTTTTCAGTTTATGGTTTGGGCAAGAGGATTAAGTGAGATAACATGTGAAAGCTCTTACTTTAATTCCTGGCACATAGTAGGGACTCAGGTCTCTTTCCCTTCTGACTCCCTGGCACTAAGGAGGTTGAAGATTTTCCTAATCTTTGAGTAAGTACACATCTGTCTAAGACTGATTAAACAGATTTCCTGAGGATAGAGTAAGAGAGTAAAGTCAGAGGTCCTTTTCTGGAGAAAAATTGCTCCATTTAGTATAGGCTTGCTTTAAAATATGTGGTTTTAATTGGAACACTTGTATTAACTTGTATTAATTTTGGGTTCCTAGCTCAGAATCTTAGGATGGGTTATCAAATTGGCTTAAAAAGGGACGATAGGGTGTAAAAGGGTATATAAATTATTGTGAATACGATATATTAGTTAGGATTCTTTATGTCTGCTGGGGGTTAAAACATAACTTGTCCTAAATAATAAAGGGAATTTTTAAATTTTATTTTAAAGATTTTTTTCCCACTGTCCCCCATAAAGGGAATTTATTAACTCATATTTAGGAAAGGCTTGATTCTGCAACTCCACATTTGCCTCTCAGGATCTCATTTTTCTCATTCTTCCAGTGGGGTTCCCACTGACTTCCTCCTTTACCTGTAGCTCCAGGCTTTCCTTTCAAGGTCATAAAATGACAGTTGAACTTACATACCTCATTCTCTTATACCATCCAGGGAAGAGGCCATCTCTCCTGTTGCTGCCATAAAAGAGAAAGAAAGCATCTCTTTCTCAGAGGATCTCATAACATATCTTCTGACATTCACCGGCTACAGTGCTCATTCCTGATCCACTAACTAGAACTGAGGGGTGGAAGGCCCCATTTGGCTGAGGCCAATCAAAGCCCATCCCTGCAGCAGGGATGGAGTTAATCCTAACAAACCCCATGGCTAAGCATGGGAGCTGAATGGTTTCCCATAGGACATTTGGGATTCTTGTTCCAGGAGGAGGGAGAGTTGCCAAGCAGCAAACCACAGTGATCTGCATCAGTCTTAATTCAGATTCTGAGTTGTCAATTAATAAAAGCCTTTTGTTGCGGCTGTAGGGATCATCCGTGTATCATGTGGACTGGAGGCTGCCGGAGAATTCCAGTTTTGGTGTTCCATGCTGAGGCTATTCTGACAAAGGACAACAATATTCGAGTAATTGGAGGTAGGTTTGGCCTCCCCCATGGTGGGCAGGGCTGGGCATGGCCCCGGTAACCTTGTCTTATAGAAGTTGATATTCCGTGTAAATAGGAAAAGGGCCTTGGTCCTGAGAAAAATCTCATGATTTTTTTTTTATACTTCAGGACTATTTGGAATTTCTTAAATTTTCTGCATCTTAAATTGCTTTTCTTCTTTGAATTTTTTCCTTCAGAATTATGTGTGCATGTGTTACTGTTATTTTTTATGATAAAAGACAACAAAATGGACCCTTTTAAACATTTTAGAGTATATACCTAAGTGGCATTTAGTACAGGTCACAGTGTTGTACAACCCACACCACTGTCTAGTTCCAGAATGTTTTCATCATCCTAAAATAAACCCCATTTCCATTAAGCAGTCACTCCCTATGAGCCCTTACCCCAGCTCATAGTAACTAACTGCTCATCTACTTTCTGTCTCTTTCAATTTGCATGTTACGGATATTTCATACAAATGTACTCATACAATATGTAGTCTTTTGTGTCTGGCTTTTTTCACTTAGCATAATGTGTTCAAGGTCCGTCCATGTTGTAGCATATATCAGTACTTTGTTCCTTTTCATGGAGTACCATATTTTGTTTATCCATTCATCAGTTGATGGATCAGTTGCTGGTTGTTTCCACCTTTTGGCTATTGTGAATAGTGCTGCTCTGAAGAGTCACATACAAGGTTTTGTTTGAACACCTGTTTTTAATTCCTCTGGGTCTCTACTTAGGAATGGAATTGCTAGGTCTTTTGGTAATTCTATGTTTAACTTATTACAGAGCTGCCAAAGGATAGCATAGTGACTGCACAATTCTACATTTCCCCCAACAATGTAGGAGAGTTCCATTTTCTCCACATCCTCACTGACGTTTGTTATTTTCTGTTCTTTAGATTATAGCTCCGCTAGTGGGTGTGAAGTGGTATCTTATTGTGGTTTTGATGTTCATTTCCCTAATGACTAATGACATTGAGCATCTTTTCATGTGCTTCTTGGTTATTTGTATATCTTCTTTAGAGAAATGTCTAGTCAAAGCCTTTGCCTGTTTTTTTGTTTTTTTTTAATAGGCTCCACATCCAGCGTGGAGCCCAATGCAGGTTTGAATTCATGATCCTGAGATCAAGACCTGAGTGAGCTGAGATCAAGAGTCGGATGCTTAACCAGCTGAGCCACCCAGGCACCCTGCCTTTATCTGGTTTTGAGTTGGGTTGTTTGACTTTTTGTTGTTGAGTTAGAAGAGTTCTTTATGCATTCTAGATACTAGACTCTTATCAGATGTATGATTTCCACATTCTTTTTCTATTCTCTGGTTTGTCTTTTTACTCTCTTGATAGTGTTCTTTCATAAGCAAAAGTTTTTCATTTTGATGACATGCAGTTTATTTCTTCTTTTGTTGCTTATGCTTTTGGTGTCATATCTAAGGAACCATTGCCTAATCCAAGGTCATAATCCTTATGCTTTCTGCTAAGTTTTACAGGTTAAGTGCTTACATTTAGAGCTAAATGGTCTTTGATCCATTTTGAGTTAATTTTTTTATATATATAGTGTGAGGTAAGGGTCCACCTTCATTCTTTGCATGTGAATATCCAGTTGTCCCGGCATGATTAGTTGAAGACAGTATTCTTTCCCTATTGAATAGTCTTGGCGCTGTCATTGGAAATCAGTTGACTTGGATCTGTGGTTTTATTTCTAGACTTTTTTTTTTTAAAAGATTTTTATTTATTTCTTTGACAGAGAGAGAGACAGCGAGAGAGGGAACACAAGCAAGGGGAGTGGGAGAGGGAGAAGCAGGCTTCCTGCTGAGCAGGGAGCCCGAAACGGGGCTCGAGCCCAGGATCCTGAGATCATGAGCCAAGCCGAAGGCAGACGCTTAATGACTGAGCCACCCAGGCGCCCCTTTATTTCTAGACTCTTAATATCCCATTTATCTTTATGTTTATATCAGTGCCACGTTGTTTTGATTATACCTTTGTACTAAGTTTTAAAATTGGGTTGTTGGGTCCTTTAACTTTATTCTCCTTTTTCAAGATTTTTTTGGCTATTTAGGATCCCTTGCAATTCCATATGAATTTTAGGATCAGCTTTTTCATTTGTGCAAAAAGGGTGTTGGGCTTGTGATAGGGAGTATATTGCCATCTTAGTATTAAGTCTTCCAGTCTGTAAACATGGGATGTCTTGTCATTTATTTAGGTCATCTTTAATTTCTTTAGCAATGTTTTGTAGTTTTCAGTGTGTAAGTTTTAGAGTTCCTTGGTTAACTTTATTCCTAATTATTTTATTCTCTTTGATGCTATCATAAATGGAATTGTTTTTCAATTTCATTTTTGGGTTGTTCATTGCCAGTGTGCATTAATACAACCAATTTTTATATGTTGATCTTGGATCCTGAAACCTTGCTGAACTCATTTATTAGCTCTACTAGTTTGTGTGTGTGTGTGTATTCTTTAGCATTGTCTATATATAAGATCATGTCATCTGCATGTAGAGATTTTACTTCTTCCTTTCCAACCTGGATGCCTTTTCTTTCTTTTTCTTACCTGATTGCTCTGGCTAGAACTTCCAGTACAATGTCAAATAGAAGTGGTAAAAGTGGACATCTTTCTCTTTCTTCTTTCTGATCTTAGAGGGAAAGCTTTCAGTCTTTCACTGCTCAGTATGATGTTAGCTATTTTCATGAATGCCCTTTATCATGTTCAGGAAGTTTCCTTCTACTCCTTTGGTGTTTTTATCATGCCGGGGTGTTGGATTTTGTGAAATGCTTTGTCTGCATTAGTTAAGATTTTTTTCTTCATTCTATTAATGTGGTATATTACATTGATTGACTTGTATGTTGAACCATACTTGCATTCCTGAGATAAATCCCACTTGGTCATGGTATAATCCTTTTAATATGCTGCTTGATTTGGTTTGCTCTTACTTTTTTGAGGGTATTTGCATCTGTACTCATAAGGGATTTTGATCTGTAGTTTTCTTGTGATGTCTTTATCTGGATTTGGTATCAGACTAATGCTGGCCTCATATAATGTGTTCCCTCCTCTTCTTCGGAATAGTTTGAGAAGGATTGGCGTTAATTCTTTAACTGTTTGATAGAATTCACCAGTGAATCCATGTAGTCTGGGCTTTTCTTTATTGGGAGGTTTTTGATTACTGATTCAATCTCTACTTGTTATATGTCTATTCATATTTTGTATTTTGTATTGACACGATTTTGGTAGTTTGTGTGTTTTTAGTTTTTGTCCATTTAGTTTATCTGATTTGTTGGCATATAATTATTCTTAGTATTCTTTTATTTATTTGTTTTTCACAGTATTCTTATGTAATCCTTTTTATTTCTGTAAGGTCAGTAGTAATGTCCCCATTTAATTTCTCACTTTAGTAATTTGAATCTTTTCTCTTTTTTTCTTAGTCTAACTAAAGGTTTGTCAATTTTGATCATTTTAAAGAGCCAACTTCTAATTTTGCTTATTTTCTCTATTGTTTTTAATCCTCAATTTCATTTATCTCTACTCTTCTTTGATATTAAGCAGTGCTCTGAATTCTGGGGTTAGCCTGTAGCTATCTTCAGAGGTTACAGTACCATGGATCTGAACTGTTGTGTGATATAGTGGAAAGAGTCTATACGTGGTTTCTCAGTCAATGGTTCAAATCCCAGCTTTGGCATTTAGTAGCTGTGAGTCTGGGGCAAATCACTTAAACTCTCTCAACCTGTTTTAGTATTAGTTAGGTGGAGATAATAGTTACCTTGCAGGCATTGTAAGAATTAATGAGATCATTTAATATTTGGCATATAGTGGGCACTCAGAATTTGTGCTCTTTACTCTACTCGTTGAATAGGATCTCTTCTACTTTGAAATGACTTTAAGGTCTGTTCTTGCCCCATAATAAGGGAGGAGTTCAGAGGACAGTGAACACCTGCTTCTGGGATTTGAATCCTTCCTCCCCAAGGGTCGTGTTCTAATCCCTTCAGCAAGTTGCTAGGTTACCACTTAAAGGGATATGGTTCATTCATGTTCTCTGAATTTGGAGGAACTGAAGATTTGCTAACATTTGCAGAGAAACTCCCTCGCAATACAATTGGAGTCAAAACATCAAAGGTGGGTAAAAACAACAGAAGTAAATAATCTTCCCCAAACATACTTCTTTTGGTCTGCTTGTCACATAAATGAATCTCTGTATTCCATGGCAATAAGCAGACTTTTTTAGAGTACCTAACATTTATTAGAAGTTAGTATCCATCAGTGTTATCATCCTGTTGTTCAAGCAGTCCCTGTGTTTTTAGAACTTAAATGTCTTTTTTTCCCTTTACACATTCTTGTGATTAAAGAAAAAGCCACTGAACTTTTTTCTCAAACTTTGTTTTTGAATTTTCTGTATTTCTGATTCTTTGAGGTTTCGTAATTTTCTAGACCCTCCTTTATGAAAAGAACAATTTTTAAAAAAGTTTTATTTATTTTAGAGAGAGAGTGCAAATGGGGAAGGGCAGAGAGGGAGAGTATCTCCAGCAGACTCCCCACTGAGCACAGAGCCTGACGTGGGGCTCTATCCCAGGACCCTGATGAGATCATGACCTAAGCCAGAGTCAGATGCTTCACCAACTGAGCCATCCAGGTGCCCCTGAAAAGAACAATTAGAATGAGTGTTTCCTAGTTGCTGTCTCAGATTTCTGAATTGTTAAATACTCTGGGTCTTTTTTTTTTTTCCCCTCCTCTCTTAAATAGCTGACATAGATCTGCTCAGATCATAATCCTGTGTTTAAATCCCCTTGAGAAGTGTTTCTGGGGCATTAGTTATCTTCTGCTGATCTTAGAGTGTTTGATGCCAGCCTTGTTTTTTCTGTTATCTGTTAGATGTTTCATTGAATTTACTGTTAATATTTTTGGTACAGTATGATTTCATATGCTTTATTTGTGAAATATTCCAGAAATATATTTTTTCCTTGCTGTCTCCATGTTTTCTTCAAAATTGCATATACTTTGAACACG